TTCAGCTTATTCCTGGTACGCCAGCGGCTACCTTGATGCACATCCGGGAGATTTTGAAACGCCTGCACAGTACTGCTTCCCTTCCAATTTGATAGGAGACTGTGACTATTCGGATTGTTCAGAAGTAGTCTTCATTCGTTGCTCTCATTGTGAAAATTGCCTATGTTCTAAACATCCTGTTCTCCCCTTTCATCAGTGCACATAGACTTTTGAAAACATAGAGTAATGAAACTTTTTTTGAAGATATTTGCAGTTAAAAGAAGGAAGAAATGATGTACAGACGATACGCGTGCTCATACAAATTTTTTGTATGACCAGCAAAAGAAAAACCACAGCAGAAGATTCGAACCTGGGATACTCTGCGTGCAAGACCACCACACCAACCACTGCACCAGACGGCACAACGGTGTACTGTCCTTGATTCTACTTGTATCGACTTCCGCCCCCCTAAAAACCCTCATAACTCCTCGCCCAAAAAAGCGCCGCAGATAAGGAAGGCAGATTTGAAATCAGCGTTCGAAGCCCCACAAGATGATACCCACCTCATTCTGTAAGGCCACTTCGACCCACCTTCCTTCCCTTGTGAGCTGCTCAGATTACTGACGAATGTGCCACAAGGAGGTTCAATTTGGAGATGTTAGTTCCAGTTCGTATTCGGTTCTTAGTGCAGGTTTTATTGGACGGTGAGGAAAGAGAATAGCATCATGACCGCTATGGATAGAGAGGGATAGAGAGGGCAATTCGGAGTGATTTTATCTTCTCAGACATTGTTTTAGCATTACATCGAATTGGAGAGTATAGCCGTCACCTTCTTGATTTTGGAAAACAAACAAAGTAAGATCTGCGGACAGCAGGATGACCAACCACTTTTGTTTGGTTTATACAAGTAAGCGCTATAAGCATCAATATATCATAACATCAACAAAGTAGGTGAATCCTTCCATGTTCCCTTGTATAGCCTCTATTTCTATTGGGGGAGCCATGTCTGATTGGAAGGAAAACAGACGAAGTTTAAGGTACTGTCAGAATCAAGGTACTATCAGAAGAATAGGCATGGTTTTTAGAAGCTTAGTGACTTATAGACTTTAATGAGTACCTGAAACTTCTTTTTCCGCAAAGAGCCAGAAAATTTTCATAATGTTGCAGGACGTTGAGGATACGCAAAGAAGTAGAGACAAATGCTACGCAGTACGGGTCATTTGGCTCAAGTACATTTTTCTCCGTTGTTCTAAGTAAAACAATTGTTACAGTTCACATTTTATTCATTGCACCTGAAGCATATTTGACAAAATGACAGCGTCGAGCTATTTTTCCTAGTTGACTGGAAATCTGTCAAAAACCCTGTTTACGAGCCCCAATCTTCTTTTGTCGCAGCTTGCATTCTTTACGGTATTACTTTTCCTGATGTAAAACTCTGCGTTTTGTAGGGTTTTCCGAAGTGGATTTGAAGCGTGTAAAACAGTGGAGCGAAATGCTTTTATTGGAGGTTTCTAGATCGGAATGAAGAGCTAAGAGCGCTAACGACGTCGGAAACAAAAGTGACAAGGCGTGAAAATTCAAAAACACATCAAAGATTGGCTCACTATGGCAAAAATTTCGACTACGAAAAAAAAACAATGTTTTCATTCCTTTTTTGCTAATCTTCCACTTAGCGATTGTCACATCGTACCGCGATTAGCTTTAGGCAGTTGCAGAAGAAACTAGCTTTCTCTCGCCATTTGAATTTCAATCGGAAATTGTAAACCGAAAAACTGGCAGATGTATCGGCAAATAAAGCTTTCACTCACTGCTGTTTCTAACCAATTATAAATAAATTTTTGCGTTGTCACTTCATTTATTTTTTTTTGGTTGAACCATGTTCACTTCTAACAAAACAAGATCCAAACGATCACTTTCTAGGTACGTAATTGTGTTCATTATCTGGCGAACCTGCAGAACACTTAAAGCACGAACAATGAGTGCGTTGATAGGACAAACGCTAATAAAGAATCTGCACTTCTGAGAACTGCAATTCGAAACGTGTCGGTTTGATTGACTTCTATTCATGAGGGCAAGCAACGCAGCTGACATTCAATTGATACAACGCTTTCATGAGAACATGATTGCATTTCATGATTTACAAGTGCACACGAAAAGTTGCAACTAGGAATATGAGGGACCGAGAAATTGTTCAGCGGAAAGTATACGGCATATATGCGTAGGTAACTGTTGATACTGAACGTGTTTTCAAACGTTCAGTATCAACAATCACGTGTGAACTTGTGAGTAACCACATGTGAACTTCACCGTGAGCATCGAAACTTGGATCAGCTGCTAGAGTTGGAAACCAGATAATACTGCCTCATTCAAATTTGATTACAGTGTTTTTGAGGTGAGGCTATTTGGCTGATTAAGTGAATGGTTTTCATATATCCATTTACTAAAGAACTTGATGCATGTTGACTCTTCCCTTGAAAAAAAAGGGGTTGCCCCATATTTGGTCTAAAGGCGATATCACTCTCTATAAAATTAATTCGATATATGAACAAAACCACTAAGAATAGATTTTAAAAACAGAATACAGGGTGCACCAAAAGTATGTATACACTGTTTGATCGTTAATATCTCTCTTTTCAAGAAGTTTTTTGCTTTGCTTTAGGTACCGTTTTGTAGAGCTTGCTTCAACTTAGAGTTATAGTACGGAGAGAATCACCGACCGCTCTTCATTACTGTGATTACGGTAGAAATTTGAAGCATATGGTGTCGATGTGGAAAAAGCTGCCTTCAAAAAATTTTCAAAAAAACGTGAAAACTTGTGTAATAGGCTTTTCATGGACGCTGAGTTCAATAGTAGTTCAATATCTGAATTGAAGCCAGCTTTACAAAACATTACCTGAAGCAAGGCAAAAGACTTCTTGAGAAGAGAAATATTAACGATCAAACAGTGTATACATACTTTTGGGACACCCCGTATATTTTCACAACAGAAATTACTAGGTATAGATAGAGGGAACGAAGTGCATTATGCATTTTTGGCACATGTAGCTACCAAATGCGGGAATGTTTTTATCACTTTAGTTGTGTCGTAAATGCTTCAAATACAAATAAAATCTCGGGATTTGGAAGTTTTCAAAAATTGATACAACTCAACACTTCTACCAAATAAACAAGCTTTTACCGCATCAAAATATAGCTTTGATATTATTGAGATTTTCGAAGGACCAGCAACCCTTATTATGTTGCAGAAGTCATGAGCGTTTATCCTTGAAGGCAAAATGTACAAAACTTATCATTTGATAGACGAAAGCACGCTTCATACAAATTGGCATTGCATTAATTACAGGAGATTTATCTCACGTGAAGCTTGGGTAATCTAAAAAAAATTTCAGACAGCGAAGCTTCGAATTTATCACGCATATACTTATATCATGTACCCGTAATTTTTATGCGATTGAGATCAAAAGCAGTAGGCCAAAAATGCGACAGTGTCGCCTCAGGATTTTTACTACACATCTGGTACTTTTCAAAGACTATCACTTGTAAGAGGCTGGAAATTCACTGTCATACTTCCAAATCTTGTAGTATGTATACTTCAACCCGACCGACCTAACACTAGATTGCTCCGAGTTTTGTCCGTTTTTGGATCGGTGTAACATCCTTTTCTATCCATTTCCCCTCCTGTTCCATGCAGTCGATGTTATCGCAATGGTTATTCGTTCCCGTCTAATACCTGATATTCCAATACTTTCATCCTTGGGATATTAAAAAACAATGGCAGCTGAGCAAGGTTAACAAAAAACTCGAAAGTAAACCAAGTTAAACGTGGTCATCTTGGATAAATGATAACTATGACAGGACAGTTAAGCTTCAAGTAGACAAAGTTTCAAAGGTTTTCATGTTTTTGCTGCAGACGTGTTTCATATGTTTACCAAAATTTCAGGTATCCAAAAATGGTTTCATGGAATTCCGAATAGCAGATTTCAGGTAAGAGATCGGAAAACAGAGCTGGAGCCAAGATTTCCCCTATGGTTTGGTACTTATACTTTTCTTTGAGTTCAAATTGAAAAGTTGATAATTTAGAGATTTACACATTGTAAATAGGGAATTTTTCAGCTATCTTGACTTTCGGAAGAATTTCGTCTTAAAACATAACTCTCAACATGAAAGCCGAAGTTTCGTATAATTACTACGTTTTCGTAATAGTTCAGAAAAAAAGCGGCACCTGTATTCGTAGTCTATATGTTCCATGTTCCCTCGGGTGCGTGGCGTTAGGTACCCAACGAGGTGCGGGCGCTAGGTACCCAGCTATTAGTGATATACACTAAGCCACGCCCCTTGGTTGCTTTAACAGTGGGTACCTACTCAGACACTCGGTGCGTGCAGCGCGCGCGCCTTTATGCTCAAGCCGGCAAAGCGCGTGCCATATTTTGGGGGCGTGTCCGGCACGGCGCCAAACGCGCGCCATACTAGACGCACGCGCGCCATACTTGACGCGAATGCAGAATTATCTGCGACACGCGTGCCTTTTTATATGAGAATACGCGGCGCGCGTGCTTTTCCGTTGTTATGCAGCAGCGCGAGCGCGATTTAGCTTTTAGCGCAGCGGTGCGCGTGCCCAAAAGGACGCCGAGTTGCTTTTTTGAAAATAACCTCGTCCCCTGCCCCTGTTTTTTGAAGTTTTACTGTTATTTTTTACGAGTATTTGTCTTTATTTGTATCTAAGACTTTCATTTTGATTTTCTTTCTTGATTTGATGTATTTTTTGTGAACTTACTTTAGTTGATTGTCGTTATTATTAGCCTTTCTTCCTTACTGACGAGTTCCGGGAAAGGCTTATTCTTTTTTGCATTTGTCCGTCTAAGGGTAGGAACGAAACGGACGAAGTCGTTCTTACCACACAAATGCCTTCAAATCAGCATGCAAATTTTCAGTGCTATCATTTATCACATCAAATGCGTATATGCCTCTAGCAATGTAAGCATATATGCCTCTAGCCTTTATCTAGGCGAGGAGGTGGAGGTATGCCATTCAGCACGCAGTTCCCGGCCCCACATCATGTTGGAATAAAGGCTTTCGGAGGTAAGTGAAGCCAATTTTCATAAGTAATGCAATATAATTTTAGAAAGTTTGGAGGAGACCTTGAACGAGGCATATCTGGACTTCCTGGATATAGGACAGATTCCGTGATTAGGACAAATCATAGATCTGCACAGGGTTCTACACTCTCACGGAGTATATTACTTACGCGCTTTCGTTATTAACCTTTTCATTTCAATAGCAATATGCTCGTCTTTGTTCAGTAAGCTTTATTCTTATATCTTTCAGGGCGCTGCAGACAATCGTCGTAACGACCTACGTTTTTTTGGCGGCTATTATAGCCACATAGAAAGCCGAAGGGACTTTGAGGCGCATGTTCTGAAAGTTTTGTTGTCGCTTTCTACAGATGGTTTTCGGCCAAAAAGATTGTCCAAGTGAATTAGTTATTTTTGTCTTCTACTTTTTTTGTTCAGATTTTGCTGACGATATGATGGGATACGGGTACGACGAACTGCTACCAGGCACGGTTGTGGATTTTGAAAACTCGGAGTAAGTAGCGTATCATTTCGTCCATGTTGTCTTTCCATCAAGTTTTATTCATTGCAGATTTACGCTAGTTTTGGCACAGACGAAGCCGAAAGAACGCAAAATTTTGATCAGGCTTCGCGTGAGAAAATGCGGTGGCGTCCACAGCTCTTCAAGGCCCTGCAATTCGCACTGTGCGTAGTCAATTCTTACAGGTTATAACGCAGCCTTAGTTGCTAATATATCAATTTCAGACGAGATATTAGGCCCTATACGTACAAGGAAAGCGAGTCGAAATGGATACCGCATAAGGTAAAATTGTTTGCTGTTTGATTAGTATTTCATAGATTCATTGCAGCGCCAGTCGAAGAAAGTCGCGGACGAAATTATCGACGATGGGGCAGTAACAGGAGACGACGACGACCTATTCATTGCTGATGAGTGAAGTTCCATGATAGCAATATTTTTGACTTATATACAGTGCTGGCCAAAAGTTTGCAGCCACTCTGGAATTTTCCTATATCTTACTCTGTCTCGCATGAAACGAACCCAAATTTCGATATTACGTGCAAATAACACCGCTTTACACTATGTCAAAAAATTTTGCAGTTCCATGCACACAGAAGAGGCCTCTGAGGAAAATGGCGAAAACGGCAAATTCGAGGTTGGTCAAAACTTGCAGCCGCTTTTCGCTGAACGTCTTTGGAGAACTTGTCACCTCCTAGTATCTGGGCTACAGATGCATTCGTAAGCCTTGAGACATGCAGTGCAACCAGCATTCATCAAACTTCAAAAAAGGAGACTTCACAGAGCAAATTTACTCGTACGCCAAATGACCTAAAAGTGGGACAAATCACTAGTATGTCGAGAAGTAATCGGCTGATCTTTGCTTCTATGAAAAGGTGGTACCATTTAGACTTCGGCGGCGGTTTGCGAATGTGATAGGAAAAGCATTACATGCATGCCACCACCACTTTAACTCAGATTCGGCGCACATCTCAGCTCAAAAATCGGGCTCAACGGTCTAAAAAGTTCTCAGACTTTATGAAAACCCTGCTTTTACAAAGACGAGCACTGGCCCGAAGCTTGCAGAGATTCATTGGAAACATGAAGGTGCTACTGACAGAGAAATGTTCGCGCAATCTTCACAACTGAAACTCCCCTCCCAAAATCGAACATTTTCTAGATGTGACAATCACACAAACTTTTTTCTAGCAGTAACGCCTTCGTGTTCCTAGTGAATCTCTGCAAGCTTCGTACCAGTGCTCATCTTTGTAAAAGCAGGGTTTTCATAAAGTTTGAGAGCTTCTCAGACCGTTGAGCCCAATTTTTGAGCTGAGATGTGCGCCGAATCTGAGTCAAGATGGTGGTGGCATGTCATGTAATGCTTTTCCTATCACATTCGCAAACCGCCGCCGAAGTCTAAATGGTACCACCTTTTCATAGAAGCAAAGATCAGCCGATTACTTCTCGACATACTAGTGATTTGTCCCACTTTTACGGTCATTTGGCGTACGAGTAAATTTGCTCTGTGAAGTCTCCTTTTTTGAAGTTTGATGAATGCTGGTTGCACTGCATGTCTCAAGGCTTACGAATGCATCTGTAGCCCAGATACTAGGAGGTGACAAGTTCTCCAAAGACGTTCAGCGAAAAGCGGCTGCAAGTTTTGACCAACCTCGAATTTGCCGTTTTCGCCATTTTCCTCAGAGGCCTCTTCTGTGTGCATGGAACTGCAAAATTTTTTGACATAGTGTAAAGCGGTGTTATTTGCACGTAATATCGAAATTTGGATTCGTTTCATGCGAGACAGAGTAAGATATAGCAAAATTCCAAAGTGGCTGCAAACTTTTGGCCAGCACTGTATGTTTACTGCATGTACATGATGCCATTCCGTTACATATGTATTTGATTGTACACATTTGATCCACATTCTCATCATAAAGTGTCTTTTAAAGCTTTAATTACATAATTGATAAAGGTTTGTTGAAGTTGTCCAGTCATTTTTCTGCAGAAATAAAGTTTTAAAAGGTTTAGTCCGCTGGTTTAGCCGTTCAAATTTGGCGCGCGGGTCAATGATTAAAACGAAGCTGCGAAAATGCTGACCATTCGCGTGCCAAAATAGCAGCCATCCGCGTGCAAGAAATCGCAGCCGCTCGCGCGCTTTAAATCGCAGCCATCCGCGGACGATCATGCAGCGGCGCGGGAGTCAATAGCGCGCCATCCGCAGACTGGGTGTCGCGCCACCCTGCAATTGCGCGCGCGCTGCACGCACCGAGTGTCTGAGTAACGATACACTGAATCACAGCTGTTAGAACAGCTCAACTTGCTCGCCAAAGCGCTGGCACTTGTGACCCACAGAACAAAAAAGGTTCAAGGAAATCAAAAAAAATTGTGCGAATGAAAGAACAAGTTTATACACAACGTTTTTCTATTGCTTCTTTTTTAAACCAGTTTCAGAACACAGAATTTCGGTGCTGAAACTTAATAACAGTAAGCTTTTATGAGCACTTCATATAGTTTTGCAAAAGAAATTGTGATAATCTGATCTAACCGATAACGTCAGCGGGAATTTCGAAAAAGTGAGCTTTGTAGAATTTCAACAAACCAAAATATTGTGATTCTAATGAAGCAAAGCGCACTTTCGGAGAGGCTCCTAGCAAATGGCACGGGATATTCCTTACACATATTGTCGTCGGCATCTTTTGAGGTTTGAAGTTAAGGATAGTAACCCATTTGCGTTAATATTGCCACAGGGATTGTGAACTACATTATCGTAGATTGTTAAGACCATTACATCGGTCATTGCTGAGGTCAACAGATTTATGAGACATTATATTGATACACATTTTTTCTTTATTTTGGAAGATTTTACATCCCGTATGAAAATTTCATTGAGCTACTGTATTCTGTTATGCCTATGTTTTCTGTAGTGCTTTATTTTTTGAAGAACTATCATATTGCGATATTTTATTTTATTGCAATATCATACTATCATATTTGATATTTTCATGAATATCATATTGCAGTTGTTTCATATTCATTCTCTTTTCTAGCAGTCAAAATATGATGAATTCATCCAAACCAAACTATGAATCTTTTGTAAATCATAAAAATCGAGGAAGATTTCGTCAATAACTGCTCTCCTGTAGTAAAGTTGTTGCTTTCTTCTGTTCCATTCTATTGGCAGCACTCATACGAAATTGACATAGCTCTATAATGTAATTTTCATTAAATATAACAGAGCTAGTGCCTTTCCCATGAATTAATGGGTCACATGGTCCTTCATAACGTTCCGATGACAAATTGTCGTCGAAGCTTTTGCCAGTGTTTTCACTTCTTATCGTCAGAAATATATTTGAAGCAGTTTCTTGAGACAAAGGAATAAGTTGCAACTTATTTGCCACTAGCATCTTCGAGAGTGCGCTTTGGTTCATTAGAAGCATCTTTGATTTGTTGGAGTTCTACAAAGTTTACTTTTTTGAAATTCCCGCTGACATTATCGGTTAGATCAGTTTATCACAATTACTTTTGAGGAAATATGTATATGAAGTGCTCATATAAGCTTTACTCTTTTTTCAACTTTCATCACCAAATTCCTGTTATTGTAAAATTGATAAAAAAAAGAAGCAACAGAAAAAACGTTGTGTACAAAATTGTGCTTTCATTCGCGCAATTTTTTAAAATTTCCTCGAACCTTTTATGTTCTGTGGGTCACAAGTGCCAACGCTTTGGCGAGCAAGTTGAGCTGTTCTAGCAGCTGTGATTCAGTGTATCATCAGGTACCCGCTGTTAAAGCAACCAAGGGGCGTGACTTAGTGTATATCACTAATAGGTGGGTACCTAACGCCCGCACATCGGCTGGCTACCTAACGCCCGCCTCCCATGTTCCCTCTTCTCCGGACGGGGGCATTCGACATGCTAATAATTGTTCTTTAAAAGCTTGACTCCCATTAATACCACAGTGGATGAAGGCCTCCGACGAAGACGAATTCGCCGAAATGCAAGTCCAACAAAGAATTGCACCTAAAACCTGGCACTGTTACCATGTAACAACTACCAAAAATTTCTCAACAATTCGCATACTTAATCGGAATTCGGACAATGCCGTTCACGCGAGTCGTTTTCCAACACAGATCGCTGTATTTTGGAACAGAATGCGAGTGTTTAGAATTGCTGTACACCCGAAAACGCGACAACTTTGAAAAGTTCAGATATTCAGGAAGCTCAGAAATGGTTCTCTTCTTCATAGCTTTCATATCCTCCTTAAAGGCACCGGCCACCCAAAGTGAGGGTTGATGAGATTTCGGTGGATACTCATGTGGGCCCCCACACTAGGCAAGCAAACCCCCAAGTAGCTCCGCAAAATACTCCCTCCGAAGCGAGAAATCCGCTCCGGAAGGGACGTAACCGGAGGTCGTAACCGGAGGTCCCACTTTGCAGGCGCGCTGATATACGCAGGGCGTCAAAACTAGTCACGGGCAATTGTGCAATCGATTAGGAGTATTAGGAAATGGAAAAGGATTCACTTGTCTGCGAAACAATTCCATCAAATAATTTAATAACACGTCAAGATCAACGTACAGCAATAGCAACTTAGCTGCGCAGAAATGCGTGACAGATTGCAATGATCCACTAGTCATGTAGTAACGACGACAATGATCATTTTGACTACAAATAATTTTTGAATTTGATGTACATTGCAATGAAAAGAAACTCACGTTATCTTCGCATGTTCATCTTGTTTCATTGAGCACAAGCGTCACCTATAATGAAAGATCATGTTTACATCGAGAAACAGCTATGCCGGATGCTGGTGATAGCTATAATCGGAAAAACAACTTTGTCGTAAATTTGGTCATAATTGAATAAAAAACGAACGGTTAAGAATACTAATACACGAAATAACACTAAAAAACTCCGATTAGTCGCCTACGACGAAACAGTGTACTGCGCTGTGCATGTAGTATCTCCAACGGTGCGCCTGCAAAGTGGGCGGAGTGACCACCTCCAGTTACGTCCCTTCCGGAGCGGATTTCTCGCTTCGAAGGGAGTATTTTGTGGCGCTACTTGGGGGTTTGCCTAGTGTGGGGCCCCACACTAGTATGCACCGAAATCTCATCAACCCTTAGTTTGGGTGGACGGTGCCTTTAAGAGCTGTGCATGCGTCTACGCCTTATTGCTGCGAGCAATATGTTGACATGTCGACACAAAGTGTCGACATGAACTAGCAGAATAGAGCTTCAAAAACCATTCGACGCACCAGCGGGTCGCGTTGCCGTATTTGCTGAGATCCGATTTTGGGACTGGACAACTTCCTGTAAAATAACAAATAAGGAATGGGATGCAGTCGGTCCAATGTTCGGTTGGAGAGCAAATAGCCTTTGCAAAAAAGTTAATAGAAAGCTTTTTCAATGTGGAAAGGTTGTCGTTCTTTTCTGAAGTGTA